CGGCTGCCTGATTCCCGCTCCCCCCCCCAGGGACGGGGGGTAGAGCGCGGTCTGGGCGGCGGGGACCTCGGGTGGCGGCGCGGAGCCAAGAGGGGGCCGCTTTCCGGGTCTTCCCTCCCTTCCTGGGTCGCAAAGAGCCGGGGCTCTGCTCTTCCTTCCCTTCCCGCCTCCAAGGCTGGGTTGGGAAACCTTCCCCCCCCTTCCCGGAACTGGCAGGAGGCCTTTTCGTTTGGGCCCCAGGCTCCCCCGGGGGGGGGCAGCTCCCTCCTCCAGAGAAGGGGCCGGCCAGAGTTTGGGCTAAGTCAGGTCTGGAGTCTTCCAGACCCCTCAGGATCCTTCCTTGCTTTGGCGGCTGTGGCCGAGGGGCAGGAGGCCCTCCTGGGCCTTATAAACAAAGGCTTTGGGGTCGGCCCTTCTTGCTTTCCCCTCCCTTCCTTGAAATCCTCCTTTTCTCTCCTCAGCTTGATTTATCGGAACTCCAGAAGCAGCTGGAGAAAAGCCAGAGCCTCTTCCCGGAGAATCCTTCCGTGTGGGTCAAAGACATGGCTGGGTACTTGAACTACAAGCTGCAGGCCCCCAAGAGCGACCCCACCCTCAGCCAGCATCCTCACGGTCAGTGGCTCCCAGGGCCGGGGCGAAAAAGGGGAAAGGGGCAGGCCTCCGTAAAGTGAGAACTTCCTGTCAACCGGATTTGGGATTCTCCAACTGGGAAAGTTAGGGAGAATTTATATATATATGTATATCGGGCTTGCCAGGAAGCTGGGGCCAAAATCCTGGCGAATCCTGTGCTTGGCCTTTGACGAACGGGAGGGCAGAGGCACAACTGGAACCCTAGGCTTTTCAGTGTCCTGTGCGGCCAAACGGACGACAGCATCTTCGGTTTAAAAAGAAGTCTCATTTTTACAAGGTTGTCTTCGACGAGACTTTGCGATTCGGCTGTATTAAAAGTGCCAGCCCCACCTTGGACGTCTCTGCCCTGCCAAGGAGAAGTGCCCCATGGAAGTGGGGAAAGCTTCTGGAGACAAGAGACATGGCCGTGGGGCTGAATGGTTTTGGTGGCTGTGAAGCCTCTGGGCACGCACTTCCATGAACTCGGCAACCCTAGACACAGACACACACCTGGGGTGGGGGTTGAGAGGGCAGAACCTTGGGCTCTGAGAACCCATCTCTCTGGTGGTGGTTTTCCTTCCCTGCCTGGCTGGTGGCCTTTGTGGGTCCCTCCCTCCGCCCCCAATTGGGTCCTTGCCCTGTCGGGGCAGCCTTCCACCTCAGTGTGGCTGAGTAACCGCCCTCCCGCCCGCCCCCCCGGGTGCCCTTGGTGGGAGGAGGTGTGCTGTTCCAGGGTGGCTTCCCGCCTTTCGCTCTCTTGCGGTGTTTTGTGCCTGAGTGGAAGCGCTCTTGGCAGGAGACCCGTCCCTGGCCTGCCGGCTTCCATCCCTTTATGCCGCCCCCTTTGGCTTTTTGTTTTGCTGCAGATTATCCGTACTGCCTTGTGAGCAAAGATCTGAGGACCATCATCAAGTCTCTGTTATCGAAAGCCGGGGGTGTCCTGGAGCTCTTTTTCGACCACTGTATTTACACCATGTTGCAAGAGTTGGATAAGACGCCGGGTGAGAATCCAACAGCTCAGTCTTTGGGTCCAAAGTTCTGCCACGTCCCACGTGCTGTGTGTCACTGAGGGCGGCTGGGCAGGCAGGCAGGCAGCTCTTTCTTGCAAGAACTTGCTCCGTGGATTGGGAATGCCCCTCCCCGCAGGTCATCCCACCTACTTCATTCCTGATGCTGTAATTGGGGATGCGTGGGGGGGGGGAGGACTACCATGAGACTTTGCAAGAGGTGAGCCGTGGGGAGAGGGCATTGGCTTGGGGAGGCTGTGCCAGAATGGCAGGGGCCAGCACAGGGTTCTAGAACAAAAGACTGCTCCAGAAGCTGAATGCAGAGCAAGGGGAGGACCCTTACGTAGGGCAAGTGGGGTTGGAGCAGGAGAAGGGAAGGCAGCCAGTGTCACGTGGCAGACGCAAAGGTGGGAGAAAAAGCAGCAGTGCTCCTACATAAAGGTCCACAAAGGGGACTTTTCCACCAAGAAAGGAGACGGGGCTGGTCCCTGTGCAAAAGCTGTGGTTTTTGCAAGCAGGGGACACACCCACCCCGTTACATTGAGATGGGTCAGAGGCCCTCTTCCTTGGGGTCCTTGTGAGTGGGTGGCGCTTGTCGCTGATCCCTCTGTTCTGCCCTGAGTGCTCTAACCGTCTGCCGGGCCCTCCTTCCTTTGCAGGAGAGTCGCTGCACGGCTACAGGATCTGCATCCAAGCCTTGCTGGTGGACAAGCCTAAAGTGGCCACAGCCAACCTGAGTAAGGTAGGGCATCCGCAAGGGTCCCAGGAGGGAGCGCTGCTTCCTCCTCATTCTTTCGGGGCACCCCATGCCCAGCTGCAACGCCTTGATTGGCACTTCACCCTCACGTTCTGCCCTTCTCGCACTCCTCTGGTGTCCAGCGCCCAGCCCGGTGGCTTGTCTGGAGGGCTGGGGGGACACTTTGTCGTGGCAGGTTTCCTCTCCTTCTCTCCGCCTCTGGCCCTTCTGGCGGGTTTAAGGTCCACGCCTGTTGGGGACGGCCAAAGAGACAAGGCAGTCGTGGGCAACACACACACACCTCAAGGCAAGGCCACCCAGAGTGGCCTTCAGCCAGACGGGTGGTATAAAAATCAAAGGAATCAAACCCTGGGGAAGGCCCTCCCATTGTCCACCCTCAGGTGCCGTCTTGTCTCACGGCTCCGCGCAGGTGTGTGAGGGGTTTGGGGTGTTGTGGCCCCATCTCACACTTGCTGGGGGACTCTGCCTGGGGCTTCCCTGCTAGGAGTCTTGCACTAATGCTGCTTTCCCCCCCCTCTCTGTGCTGTCTTGTCTCACGGCTACGCGCAGGTGTGTGAGGGGTTTGGGGTGTTGTGGCCACATCTCACACTTGCTGGGGGACTCTCCCTGGGGCTTCCCTGCTAGGTGTCTTGCACTAATGCTACTTCCCCCCCTCTCTCCCCCGCACCCAGTACCTTGAGCTGTTGCGGTGCCATCACAACCGGACGCCCAAGTGCCTCACCATCATGTGGGCTTTGGGTCAAGCAGGGTTTGCAGACCTGACGGAAGGGCTGAAAGGTGAGGTTCGGAAGGAGGCTCTCTCTAGGAAAAGTGCATCAGCTGTTCAGGGTGGACGGGTTTGTTTCCTGGGGCAGCGCCTCCTGCCTTTTGCAGAACCGGGTAGACGGCTTGGCCGTTCTCGTCCCCTCGAGCGGAGAACGAGTTCCAGTCTGCTTCCCCACTGGCGGAGGAGGAGCGGCATGGCCTGGAGGGGGAGGAGATGCTGCTGCTGCAGCGGCAGAAAAAGCAACAGCTGCCGTCTAAAGCCAAGAGGGGCCTGGCTGGGAAGGGAAGGGAACACACACACACACACAGGGAAGATGGGCTGTGCCCCCCCCCCCAAAGCCTTCTCAGAGACAGAAGGCAAAATGGTAACCGGGGGTTCCCCTGCGCTTATCTTTGCAGTGTGGCTCGGCATTATGCTTCCTGTCCTGGGCCTCAAATCTCTCTCTCCCTTCGCCATCACCTACTTGGACCGGTTGCTGATGTGAGTGGTGGGGTGGGTGGGTGGGAGGGCGGGGGTTTGCGCTCGTTGGCCACAGTCAGGACAGGGGCCTGGACTTGCCTTGGTGGGCCTCCAGGGGCCCTTCCTTCCCCCTCCCAGCATTAAAGGCCCTGACGTGGAGGTGGAGCTCTTCCAGATCTGTGGGCCAGGAAGGGTCCAGGGTGGAGGGCCCGTCGCCACACCCTGGGCAGGGCTCCATTTTCCTTTGGTGTGTAAAACAGAAGGATCAAGCCCCCCAGAGTGGTAGAATATACCAGATGGGCGGGATATAAATCAAATAAATAAATAAGGGAGGGTCTGTGTTGCAGTGAACCAAAAGGGGAAGATACACAGACACACACACACACACACACACACACACACACACAGAGTGTTCTGCTGCCCATCATCCTGGGGCTTTGGCCTCCCTGGGCCCCTCCATCACGGCTCAGTCTTGTTTCTCCTCCCTTGTGTTCCTTCCGCATGCCCCTGATTCACCCGTGTCCACTCCCTTGCTGTGGATGGCGTTGGGGCAAGGTGGGCTAGCCTTGGCAGAGGTCTCCCTGTGCACCCACAGACCATCTGAGGTCTCTGCCCACCAAGCTCAGTGTCTTTCTGGGTCGCTTCCTGAGAAAGAGACTCTCTTCCCCCCCCCCCCCCACTTCAGCCCCCCGGAGGAATCGTCGTCGTTGTCGTTCTGTGGCTTGCAGAAGGAGGGAGCCGACCTGGAACGAAGGAGCCTTTGGTGGGACGGCCGGAGAGAGGGACTGGCCCGGGTGGGGTGGAAAAGAGCTGGGGAGAACCTGACACGCCCAGGAGACTGACGGGGTGACTTATATTTGCCAGGATGCATCCCAACTTGACCAAGGGCTTTGGCATGATAGGACCGAAAGACTTCTTCCCCCTCTTGGACTTTGCCTTCATGCCCAACAACTCCTTATCCCCCAGGTAGGGCAGTTTGGGAGGGGGGCACTTGGGGGGCACCCAGATCTCTCTCTCTCTCCATGTGTTTGTGCACGAGAGAGAAGTTGCCCCCTCCAAGGGGTGCTCAACTTGGGCTAAAGGAAGAGGCTTGGGTGCCGCCTTCCTGTGGGGAGGGGGGGAAATCGTGTTGGGCTGATGGGGGCCCCTCTGTCTTTCTCTTCTCAGCCTGCAGGAGCAACTTCAGCAGCTGTACCCACGCCTGAAGGTGCTAGCCTTTGGAGCGAAGCCGGAGGCCACCCTGCACACCTACTTCCCCTCCTTCCTCTCCAGGACCACCCCCAACTGCCCCACTGGCATGAGGAAGGAGGTGAGGCTGGGGAAGTGGAAGGGGGGGGTTGGCACATACAGAATGCATCCTGGAGCAGTGCATGGGGTCTCACAATGTGTGTGTGTGTGTGCATGCGCATGTGTGCATGTGCACCAGAGGAGCTGTGAACCCCCTTTTTACCTGTTAGAAACATCCTCTTTATAGGGAGAGGCCAGCATTTTGCAGGGTGTCCCTTTTCATACCCTTGGCCACTGTCTTCTGGGAGGCTTTGGTCTTGGTGGGCGTGTCGTCCGGCTGCTCTCCCCGAGGCACCTTCAAAGAAGTGGCAGGGATACCCCTCTTTCAGGTGGAGAGAAACGTAGCAGCATCCCTGCAGGGCGGGCCCCGCCCCACCCAGATCTTGCTTGGGGAACTCTGGGAGGGGGATGCCTGGCATCCATTCCCATTGCATTGCCACTGATCCTTTCTGCCCTTGTTCTGCTCAGCTGCTGAGCTGCCTGATGGAGTGCCTGACCCTCGACCCGCTCAGCTTTAGCGTCTGGAGGCAGCTGTACATCAAGCACCTCTCGCAATCCAGGTGAGCGCCAGCAGCTCCCCACTCAGCTGTGCCAAGCTCTGCCCCTGGCGCACGAGGCATCTGCTCTGCCACGGCTGGCTGGCATGTGGGCTAAGGTCCAGAGTTCTCCGAGAGGACTTTGGGGGATGATCTGCTCCCAGGGCCAAGAGCCCAATGGGGGGGCCATAGGGAGGTGCCCCCTTCCCCCAGCTGATGCCTTCCTTTGCTTTTCCAGTTTGCTCTTGAACCACTATCTGGAGACATGGGACAGCACATCTAAAAAGGTAAGAGGTCTTGGGCACCTGGCTCAGGACAACCTCACGCTTGGCAGTCAAAGGGAACCCTGGCTCCAACGAGAGGGGCGGCCCCCGTCTGGCCCAACCTCAGTCGATCTTGCCTGGCAGAAGGTGCTTCCACCTGAAGCTGCAGAGATGGGGGGTGCAGGGGCTGCAATTGGGAAGAGATGCTGATCGCCTGGTGGCCCCTCCGGCGGCAGGAGGCAGAGCCCTGGGCGTGGGAAAGGATTTTTATAAATTGGGGGTGGGTGGGGGAGGAGCGCTGTTCCGTCTCAGGTCAAGGGTGTTGCCAGCCTGCCAGCCCACTTCTGTGCTCCCCCCCCCCCAGCTTACAGCTATTGGCGTGGAGCCTGGGGGAACGTGCCCATGACAGCCTCTGTGGGCTTTTTCAGGTGCGGAAGTCTTTGCAAGAAACCGTTCATTTGTTCAAAGTCACAAATGACGAGCTGGCCGCGAAAGGACCGAGCAGCGCCGAGGACGTGGCTGCTTGCCGAGCGGCCTGCCAGGTAATGTCCCTGCTCGGAAGGAGCGGCTGGGCTGGACAGGACAGGACAGGCCAGGCCACTGACGGGGCGCCTTGTGGGGGGTCCCACAGCTCCCTCCTCTCGGGTTTGCTTCCCTTCAGAGCCTGCTGCTCAAGATGAAGGCCGGTGGGCCTCCTTGGCCTCGGCTGGCGCTCGTCCTCCTTGTCTTTATTGCCGGCTTTCTCATGCACGACGTCAGGACTCATGGCTCCTTCCAAGGTGAGAAAAGGGGGTGATCTCCCCAGCCAGCAGGGAGCGTCCCTCGACTTCTGCCTGCTTGGGGCCGCAGGAGGGTGGCTGGGGCTGGCCGGGGGTGCCTGGGGGCGGCCCGGCCGGCAGCTCTTTCAGGGCCCGGTGTTTTCCAGCCTCTGCCTCCGCCCGAGTCCTTCGCTCCTGTGGCATCCTGCCTGCCTCCCAGCAAGCTTGGAACACGGTCTCCCACCTCTCCATGGAAGGCTATAGGTGAGCTGGCGCTTTGCTTTGCCAAGGAGCACCAGAGAGGCCGGTCGGCCCTTTGCATGTGTGAGGCTTCGCCTCTTGAGCCTTGGCAAAGCCGGTGTGCATGTGTTTGTGTGTGTGGGGGTGGTTAGAAGAAAGCCGTTGCGAATGGCACCCTTCCTCAGGAGGAACTCACTGTGCCCCTGCTGCTTGTTGTAGCTGGCTGGAAGCCAAAGCCCCTCTCTGCTACACTCGCGTGACCTCCACGCTGGCACCAAACCTTGAACTGGCCTGGGCGAAGATGCTGGAGATGGCGGCCGACCTCTCTGGGAAGTGCTCTGCTCAGCTGGTCTGGCTCAGCGACCACCTCCCCAGATTCACTGAATGGGTAAGTGATGCTTGGCTGGGTGGGGAAAGCAGCAGAATTGGAACTGGAGGGTGGAAGAGTGGGGGGGGGCAACGCTGGGCTTTCCTGCAGGGTGCTCTGGACCGGCGGTCTGTGTTTGGGACTTTACAGTCCCCAGCTGTGGGGGGGGGAGGTTTATTCTCTTGAGCTAGGCCCTGGCCGCTCACTGGGTGGGCCTCCGCCCTCCTGGAATCTCTGGTCCTGTGCCCTCCCAAGAAGCCTTCTCTTCTCTTTGCCAGCTCCAAGCTCGGGTGCCCGAGTTTGTGCTGTGTGGGGCCGAATACCTCAAGGAGCTGCTGCTCTTCCTGATGAAGAACTGCTTTCTGCCAGCCGTGGACTATTTGGCAGCCGCCCTGGAAGGAGCCTGGCAGCGCTGGGCGGATTCCTGCGAGTGAGTCTCGGCATCCTGGCCTCTTGCCTGCGGGCTTCTTAACCAGACAAAGGCCTGGCAAGCAGAAGGAGGGCACGGGGGTGTGGGGCACCAGGACAAACTTCAGTGTCTTGGGGTGTGTGTGTGTGGCAGTCCAGGCTGGCTCACTGTGTGGCCCAAGGGAAAGGGTGAATGGGTTGGGGGGGAGGATGGTCTGTGGGGAGGGGGGGCACTTCCATGCCCAGGGCTGTTTCCCCCCCTCCGAGCTGGCCCCCTCTCCCTTCTGAAAAGTTGGGCGCATGCTTGGGGGACAAGGGTCTGTGGGTGTGGATGCCGCCTGCCCCACCTGCCCCACTCCAGCATCCTTTGGCCTCTGATCTCCCTCCTCTTCTGTCCTTCTAGTGGCGAAGGGTCGTGGGAGTGCCTGCGGACACAGCTGACCAGCCTCATCCTTTCCTCGTGGGGATACCTGCAGGACACCCCTGGGATGATCAAGGACTGGGCCTCGGGCATCCTCTCTGGCCACTAGCAGGAGAGGTTGGGGTTGCTCTTCCTTCGGCAAGGCCCCCCTGCCGCCTGTTCGGAGCATCCTCTCCAGGTCCCCTTCTCAGTTCAGGCGGCTTTTGCCTCCTCCATTTTGAGGAGGTTGTGCTGGAGAGGAAGGAGGTCCCTCTGCCTCTAGGTGGGGGTGGGGGGGAGCCCTCCTCTCGCCTGCCTCCAATGCTGTTACCCCCAATACATGGGTGGGGTGGGATGTGATCTCCCACCACAGCCATTCTTTTATGCACAGAGCCACTGTTCCTGCCCGCAGGTTTTTTCCTCCAGCTCCCAGGGCGATGGGGAGAAATGCTCCTGGCATCTCCTCGGTGGCCTGGGGACCACTGGCCTCCCTCCCCCCCTCCCCCACCCTTCATTATCATCAAAGATAAGGTGCCAATGGCCTCTGGCCTCCTGGAGCTGTTTCTCTTCTTTCTACTGGTGTCTTGGTGGGAGCAAAAAGAAGCAAGGGCTTCATCCGCTCCCCACCCTGCAAAGCCCAGAGAGCCGGCCTTTGCCCTCCTCTGGCCTCTGATTCTGCCCCAGGGGGAGACCCTCCTCACGGGACATCGTCAGTGTAGGTTAAAATGGAGAGAAAAGGAATCGGGTCAGTGGGCCAGGAACAGGGAGTCGAGCAAATCTCCCCTGTCTAGTTTGCTCCTGTAAAACAGGGTGAGTTGTGATGGAAGCCGGGCTGGGCTGCTCTTCAGACCTCCAGCGAGAGGTTGCAGATTTCCAGGAAGACCGATCTGCTACTGGGAGGAAAGCCTGCCCGCCCTGTCCCTGGGGTGGCCTTTCCCCTCCCTGCTCTCTGCCCAGCCAACTGCCCGGCTGAAGAGGCCGGAGCTCCGGCATGTCCGGGGTGCTGGTGGGGGGCTTGTCCCGTCCTTCGCCAAGGAACCCTGGATGGGAATGGGCCTGGGTGGGTGCAGTGGGGTGTCACCGGGCCCTCCTGGGACTGCTTGGCTCCTGCCGCAAGCCCGTTCTCTGGGTTCAGGGAGCATAGGGCGATCTTGGGGGGGGGGGCTTGTGTGGAATAAAGGGAACTCTGTTTGATTACACAGCGTCTGTTCACCATGTCTGTCTTCCTTGCCGTGTCCCTCTTGGGGTGGGGGAGTCAGTGATTGTTTACAAAAACACTGCTCCAAAGTAGCCTCTCCCTGGTTTCTCAGAAGTAACAAGCTCATAGCCTGTATGGGCACCACTGCCTTCACACAGAAGACAGTGGTGTGGCGTCATCTGTGTGCAGTGAAGGGCCAGGACCACCAGGGTGGCCCTGCTGGATTAGACCAAGAGCCTCTGTGGACATATGCATCCCAGCCGCCCCACAAGTGCAGTGCCGCCCTCTCTCCTTCAGAGTCCGTCCGCCTCTGGAATGGAAGATGATAACACTTCCCTCCCAAATTTAAAAATTGCATAGTCCTGGTGGGGGTGGTGGTGGTGGTGACCCATGCTCCTCTTCTCAAGTAAATTCCAAAATAGAGTCTGGAGACTTGTAACCTGAGTGGGAGGCACCAGATTTCACTTCAGGTCCTGTAGATTTCATCATCTTCCCAGTCCTGGCAGACAAAGGGCTGGGGGGCACATGCCCCTCAATGTGACATTATATCAAAGCATGTGGCTCCTGTCCAGCTGAGAACAGAGGCACACAAAGACACGGCTAACCTTGTATCAGAGAGACTCCAAGTTGGAGATCAAATGTTGGTTGTGTTCTGTGAAAGCACAGTCAGTTGCAGCCAAACTGAGAACATTCCCTGGCGGCTGGTGGAATAGGTCGTCTCCACTCTGGGGCAGCCTTTCTTGGGTGATGATAAACACATACCCCTCAATCTGTTTGTAGAGAACTGACTGCCTTTGTGGGTTGTAGGCATCCTTCAGTCTCAAGAGACTATGGTATCGTGCTCTGTATGGAGGTCTTGGAACAGTGTCTTGTGTGGCTGAGAAGGCCAATTCGAGAGTGACAATCCCTCCCACACTGGAGACAAATCCAATCTGTCCCCTGTCCAGCTCCCTGGTTTTGCTTGTTTCGGGACTGCCTCTTTGCCTCGGTCTGCTGTACAAGTGTCTCTTCAAATTGGGAGAGGCCATGATGCCCCGCCTGCCTCCAGGCTGAACGCTCAGACGTCAAGGTTTCCCATCTGTTGAGGTCCATTCCTAAGGCCTTCATATCCTGCTTGCAGATGTCCTTGTAACGCAGCTGTGGTCTCCCTCGGGGGCGGCTTCCCTGCACTAATTCTCCATACAGGAGATCTTTTGGAATCCGACCATCAGCCATTCTCACGACGTGCCCAAGCCAACGTAGACGGCGCTGTTTCAATATTGTATACATGCGGAAAATTCCAGCTCGTTCTAGGACTCCTCTATTTGGACCTTTGTCCTGCCAGGTGATACCAAAAATGCGTCTGAGACAACGCATATGGAAGGTGTTCAGCTTCCTCTCCTGCCGTGCACAAAGGGTCCAGGACTCACTGCAGTATAGGAGTGTGCTCAGGACACAGGCTCTATAGACCTGGCTTTTGGTGTATCCCGTCAACTTCTTATTAAGCCATACTCTCTTTGTGAGTCTAGAGACCATGGTAGCTGCTTTCCCAATGCGTTTATCCAGCTCGACATCTAGGGAGAGAGTGTCAGAGATTGTTGAGCCAAGGTACACAAATTCATGAACAACCTCCAGTTCTTGCATGGAGATAGTAATAGAGGGAGGTGACTCCACGCCCTGGCACATGACTTGTGTTTTCTTCAGGCTGATAGTCCAAAGTCTTGGCAGGCCTTGCTAAGATGATTTATGAGTTGTTGGAGGTCTTCAGCAGAGTGGGCAACAATGGCTGCATCATCAGCAAAGAAGAAGTCCCGTATGCATTTCAGTTGGACTTTGGTCTTTGCTTTCAGTCTAGAGAGTTTAAAGAGCTTTCCATCTGATCTAGTCCGGAGATAGACGCCTTCTGTTGCAGTTCCAAAGGCCTGCTTCAGCATGACAGCAAAGAAGATCCCAAACAGGGTCGGCGCAAGGACACAGCCTTGTTTTACTCCGCTTCGGATGTCAAAGGGATCTGATGTTGAGCCATCAAAAACTACAGTGCCCTTCATTTCCTCATGAAAGGACCTGATGATATAAAGGAGTTGAGGTGGACATGCAATCCTGGGAAGTATTTTAAAAAGTCCGTCCCTGCTAACCAAGTCAAAGGCCTTTGTGAGATCTATGAAGGCCACAAAGAGTGGCTGTTGTTGTTCCCTGCATTTCTCTTGCAGCTGTCGGAGGGAGAATACCATGTCGGTGGCGGATCTATTAGCTCGAAAACCACACTGTGATTCTGGATAGACTGTCTGCAAGCACCTGAAGTCTCTTCAGCACAACACGGGCCAGCAGCTTCCCTACAATGCTGAGAAGAGAGAGACCACGGTAGTTATTGCAGTCGCCCCTGTCGCCTTTGTTCTTATACAATGTGACGATGTTTGCGTCCTTCATGTCCTGTGGTACTCCACCTTCTCTCCAGCAAAGAGAAAAGAGTTCATACAGCTCAGTGGTGATGATCTCTTTATAACGCTTCAAAACTTCAACGGGGATGTTGTCCTTTCCAAGCACCTTGCAAGAGGCAAGGGAATCCAAGGCCGCTTTTATTTCTGCTAAAGTTGGTTCACTGTCCAGCTCTTCCAAGATTGGCAGGCACTCAATGTTATTTAGTGCCTCTTCCGTTACTACATTCTCTTTAGAATATAGCTCAGAGTAGTGCTGCACCCAGCATTCCATCTGCTGTGCTCGGTCCTGGATGATCACGCCTGTAGCAGACTTCAAGGGAGCAGATTTCTTCTGTATTGGGCCTAAAGCCTGCTTGATACCATCATACATTCCCTTGATGTTACCTGTGTCTGCTGCTATCTGTATCTGAGAGCAGAGCTGAAGCCAATAATCATTGGAACATCTCCTGGCAGCCTGTTGGACTTGGCTACGAGCAGCTCGAAGAGCTTGCAAGTTGTACTCGCTAGGACAGGCTTTGTATGCTGCTAGAGCTCTTCTCTTGTCCTCGATGCCTGGCATTAACTCCTCTGAATGGGCTTGGAGCCAGTCAGCCATCTTTTTGGTCTTCTTGCGAAATGTGGACAAGGCAATGTTATAAACAGCGTTCTTGAAGTGTTCCCATCGTTCAAGTGCATTCGCATCAGCCGGGCCTGGAAGGGTTTCCTGAAGCGCTTGGGCAAATTCCTCCCCTTTTCTTTGATTGCGAATCTTGTTGATATCTATATGGGGTCTTCCTTCCTTTTTAGTGTGATACAATCTCTTTGTTCACAGTTTTATTCTGCTACACACCAGGGAATGATCAGTATCACAATCAGCACTCTGGTACCTGCGTGTGATCGTAATACTAGATAGGCTAGAACATCTAGTGAGGATCAAATCAAGCTGATGCCCATGCTTCGATCTTGGATGTCTCCAGGAAACTTTGTGTTGAGGCTTTGTATTAACGAACGTGTTGCTGACACAAAGACCATAATAACAGCAAAACTCCAGCAAACGTTGGCCATTTTCATTGATCTTCCCAGTGCCAAAACGGCCTAGACAGGGGGGCCAAGAGTTGTCATCAGCACCAGCTCTAGCGTTAAAGTCTCCAAGAATGAACAGCGGCTCTCTCTCAGGGACTTTTTTGATAGTAGCTGCCAAATCGTCATAGAATTTGTCTTTGACTTCTGTTGTGGATGACAGTGTTGGTGCATATGCACTGATGAGGGTGATACTATGGGTATTTTCAGTAGTCCAAAAAAGTGTGAATGTGTTCCCAAGGTGAGAGAAAGATTCAGGTTCCTCTTAATTCCCCCCATTTTTGGCTGGATAGGTGCTAAGATGCAATGCTTTTAGGAGGCCAGGCTAACGGGCGTGGAGCCCTGGGCCTTGTGCACGTTTTACCTTGAATAACAGGAGTTGGAAGGGGGCCTCTGAGGCCATCAAGTCCAACCCCCTGCTCAGGGCAGGAACCCAAATCAAAGCAAATCTGACAGGTGGTTGTCCTGTTTTCTCTCGCATCCCAGTTGTTTCAAGCCCTTGCTGCTTTCTGCCAGTAAGAAGCTATCATCTGCATATCTCAAATCATTGATGTTTCGTCCACCAATAGTCACTCCTCAACCTGAGTTTAACGTGACTTTCCATATGATATGTTTTGCATACGGATTGAACAGATAATTCTTGCCTGACACCTTTGGCCATGGGAAACCCCTCTTGTCTGCCCATTGTCTGCCCTAACAGTACCTTCTTGACCACAGTTCAAGTCATACATCAGGAGAAAACAAGTGCTGAGGCACACTCGTACTCAAAAGGTTTCACTGTTGCCTGTGAAGCGATGGCTCCTAACCTTGGGTCACCCGGGTGTTCTAGGACTGCCACCCCCCAGAAACCACAGCCAGCACAACTGGGTGGTGAAGGCTTCAGGGAGTTGCTCTCCAAGAACCCCCCCCCCGGCCGCCCGGGGTGACCCAAGTCTGGGACCCACTGCTCTAAAGCAATAGACTGATACTGTCCAGCAGCCGGTGGATATTTGCCATGTGATATTGAGTGCCTCTTCATTTTGGGAATCCAGCTTGAACATCAGACATTTCTCATGCCATAAAGGATAACATGTATTTATTTAAAATACTAGTTTAGCCCACCTTTCTCCTTTAAAACAACCTCAGGCAGCTTACAATAATTTAAAGACAGTATTTATGCGAATAGCAGTGAGTATAGTCCTAAAAGGATCAATGACTACAAGACCAAAAAAAACATACTTAAAGCCAAAACGCACATTCAATGGAGTAGGATACAACAATCCATGTTAAAAGCCTTCCTTGCGATACCTTAAACATCACTTTGCTTGCAGGGGGAATTAATTAGAACAAGGGTCCTGCTGTTCTTGCACTCCTTTGGCATCTCCTTTCTTGGGGACTGGGATGTAGGCGCTCCCACTGTTTTGTTTTCCATCTTTGTTGGGATTTTGACAGGTCTCTGGCTTGAAATACCGCAAGGCTGCCGGCATCCCATCTACCCTGGAGATGTCTTTCTTCCCAGGGCTCTCAAGAGCAGCTTTCTGTTTACTTTCTGGACCTGTCCACCATCATCCGACGCCTCTTCCAAGGAGCCTATCATCTTTATCCTGTAGGTCTTTAGTGTTTCGCTTCCACCTCTTCGTCATTCGATCCTCGCCAGATGCTGGGCTTCCCCGGGGCCTTTTCTTCAGCCTTCTTTATTCACATCGGCGCGTGGCTCGAATCAGCAAGTTCGCAGAGCAATCCTAAGGAAGGGCCGGGCAGGGGCAGCTGTTGCCCCCGGGGATCCGCGGGAGGACTCGCCCGGCTTTCCCGCTCACCGGGTCGGGAGCGGAGGCCCTGGAGCACCGGGTGGGTCTGCCCTGCCCTGCCCTGCCCCAGACCACACAAGCCTCGAGCATGGGCAGAGTGCCTTTTGGTGCTGGCGGAGGCCGCGCTGCGCAGGGACGGCTCCGGGTCGACCAGGGTCGTCTCCCGGGCGGACGCCTCGACGAGCCCCTTCTCCCCGTCCTTGCAGAGGCTCAGGGGCACCGGGAGCGGGACCCTCCGCCTCGACGAGCCCCCTCCCGGGGGGGGGGGGAGAAATCCTCCGCGTGCAAAAGGAGGGCTGCGCGCCGCGCGCCTGCCTGCGCCCAGAGGATCGGGCGCCGCGCCGCCTGCCTTGGCCACGCCCACTGGAGAGGCCCTGCCGGTCCCTCTCGGTCACGTGGCTCCGGGTCGCCCCCCCCTTCGCTAGACGCGTTTCGGTCCGGGCTGCCGGTTTCCTTGACGACCAAGCGGTGGCGTCGCCAGGGAAGCGACGCGGCCAGCCAATGGCGCGTGGCGTTGCTATGGAAAAGGCCAGTGAACCAATAGCGAGCCCGCTTCCTCGGCGATTCAGGCCCGACCAACGAACGACCGAGTTCTTGTTGCCTGAGAGACAGAAAGAGGGCCGCCCTGGGCTGGGCTGGGCTGGGCCGGGGGTCCCGGGAGCGGGAGCAG